CTAGTCCGCCTAGAAACATTTATCCTTATCAATCAGCATTAGAGGATTTGATTATTAAAGGTCATAAACGAGCCTTATATCTTACAGGACAGGATCTCATTAGCATAGCTTTCACTCATACAAAAGTTGAACATGAGCATTTGATGATGATTTCAGAATCATATCAGCCTTTTCTCAATATGTGGGAAACTTGTTGTATTCTTTATCCAAGGATCCTAGAATAGTGGTTACTACTACTTTAAATCCGGCCTTTTCTTCCTTTTTTGTGCAAAATCCTATTTCTAAAGCTCTTACAGTCTTTACTGATGGATCACCTACAAGGGGTGTGGTTGTCTGGCAGATTTAACAACAATGTATTCTAAATTTACTGCCACGCAGACTTCAGTTCAACGTGCTGAGCTGGCTGCTGTGATTTTGGCTTTACAGTTGTTCAATGACCAACCTATTAGCTTGATCGTTGATATTCAATATGTGTATTTAGCCATGCAATCTCTTCCCTTTTCTTATTGTGCTCTCTTTGGATAAGAATTTGTTATCCTTGTTTTTATATTTAAAGAATAGTTTGGAAACTAGTTTGTATTCTTTGTATGTAGAACACATTTGAAGTCATACTTCCTTTACTAATGCCTTGACTGAAGGAAATTGGAAGGCAGATGAATCCTTAAAGGATGTTGCGTCTTTGTTTGCCAGTCATTCTTATTTTCATCAAAATGCCAAATCGCTTGCAAAGCAATTTAAAAGTTCATTATCTCAAGCCCGGGATATTGTCCGTGCTTGTCCAGCTTGTCGGCAACTGGCAGTTCCCTTTCCAGTGGGTGTCAACCCACGAGGAACCCAAGCTAATCAAATTTGGCAAATGGATGTAACTCAATTTTCAACCTTTAAACCATACTGTTATCTTCATACTCTATTGACACTCATTCACACTTCCTTTGGGTTACTGCTTCAAAACATGAACGTACTTCAGATGTTATTTCTCATTGCCTATCCTCTTTTGCTGTAATGGGTCGGCCTTCTCAGTTTAAAACTGACAATTGCCCCGCTTATATTAGTAAGGAACTTCAAACCTTTTGTCAGAAATAGAATATTATTTTAGTGCATGGAATTCCTTACAACTCTCAGGGTCAAGCTAGAGTTGAGCGAGCTCATTGTACTTTTAAGGCATTGCTTCAGAAACAATTACAAACTGAGTCTGGCCCTTACCATCTGCGAAAGATTCAAAATCTCATTGCTGTAGCATTATATACTTGGAATTATTTAACCTTTTTAGATTCTCTTGCAGACTCACCTGTTAATTTGCATTTTCGAACTACTGAATCTTTAGCAAGGCCTTTGGTAAAGTATCGCCAAGCTCCAGATCCAACCTGGAAAGGCCCTACACCGCTGATCACCTGAGGTCGTGGTTACGGCACCATGGAAGATCCTTCTACTCGACAAGCAGTGTGGGTTCCAGTGCGCTGTGTTTGTCCGTATCATGGCATGGCATCAGGACTTCACAACCCGATTCCAGATTTCAATCTTCATCTGAACATGGAAATCCATCTTCCAAGGTTGACGCGCCCGCAACCCATCACTTGGGGCCAGATTAAATCTACTACATATCAAGCTCAACAACTGCAACAGGCCTCATTACCTCAGACTCCTGAAAATCTTGTTGCTGCTGTTTTTGCTATTATTACTGCTAACTCTGTTACCGTTTTACTTTGTATTTTCTTGTTTATGGTTAATGGTGTTTCTGCTCAAAATGACACTTCTGTGGTTCGTCTTAACCCTAATTTGTGGGTTCGTCATGCCCAATACATGTTTATGACCCATGGCACAAATATTACTTTATACTATGAGCCCCCAATGGCATTTGGTCAAATTTCTTTTACTCCTAACTTGATCATGTCTTCTACATTTATTGTCTCACAACTACAATCTATTTCACACTCCTGGCTATTTTCTATACCCCCTATGCAATTGAATTCTGTCCGTTGGCGTTACTTGAAAGTTAGTCAATTTACAAAGGGTCTGTGTTTCTGTTGTCACGCTAAACACACTTGGCTTCATAATTGGTCTGATTATGATGCTGCTCGGCACATATTAAAAAAGCTAGGGAATTATAGTTATTGTTCTGACTACTATTGGTTGTCAAGTACCTTTAATTCTTCTTTGCATGGAATTAATATAGCTCCTAATATGTATCCTGACAATTTTCCTATTTTTAATGCCTCTGATCAATCTAATACAGGATCGATATGTGCTGGTTGGCAGCTTAAGGATCCTAATATATGGTTCTTTTTTGATAAATATGCTACTAATGTTCATCCTCAGAATTATCAATGTCCAAGTATAGGTTATTTTACTCTACCTGTTCAAATAGGTATGCTCCCATCAACTCGACAGCGCCGTTCCTCTCTGGGGCCTACATGTAATGATGAAGTGATTATTGACACAGTTGTCTTCTGGTTCTACATTTGGCCGTGCATTGGCAGGGGCCGTTACAGGAGTCCTTACTCTAGGCTCTTATCCTGGCATAATTGCTTAAGAAAACAGACAATCTATTCTTGGTCTCACCTGCAGACTTGAAAAATCCATCAATGCTACCGCTGCTATTATTCGTGATTTGCAGCATTAAATAGAAGACTTAAATTAAGATGTCTTACAGCAGTGTTTTGCCATAGACTATATTTTAGCCTGTCAGGGAGGGTTCTGTACGTTAGTTGTTTGCCGTGGATGTGCTGTGCATTTTCATTCTTTGAATAAAACTATTGAGGATGAGCGTGCCAATTTACAATCATACATTCAAAATAATACCCATGCTCATTGCTCACCTTTTGAGTGGCTAACCAATTGGCTCCCTGATTGGTCTTGGCTCAGAAAGTTTTTCTTTTATGCCATAATTATTATTATTGTACTAATTGCAACCTGTTGTTTTATTCAGTGCATTCCAGATATATTCGCATTGTTTCGTCCCGCTTCCCCCTCTCTTAACCCTCTACAATTGCGATACACTTATAAATCTTTGAATCCTCCATTTAAAATAAAAAAATGAGGATATGTAGAGTTGTAATTGCAGGAATGTTCCAATCTCGGATGGCAAACCTCAGATAAAGAATGTTTCCAAGCAAATACAACTCAGGCAAACAAAGTCACTAATCTATGGATAAAGGAGGATTAGAGAGGGACGTAAACATATGTTAGACTTTAACTAGAGATAATTAATTGTATGGATTACTGTACTAAACAGTAATGAAAGATAAGCAGTAACCAAAGTTAACCAATGATGGAGGATAACTAAAAATGTATATAAATGCAAAACTATACTCCAATAAAGATCATCATGATTCAGTTGATCATGATCAAACTCGATTGCCTCATCATTACATTTTCTATTCTATATTTTCTATTCTACCTTATGATTCTTGACGAATGTATCTTTTCTTTTTATGTACACTGAGAGTATTTGCACCAAAGACAAATTCCTTGTGTGTCCAATCACACTTGGCCAATAAAGAATTGAATTCTATTCTATTCTATTCTATTCTATTCTATTCTATTCTATTCTATTCTA